GATCCTCAGATAAGTTGGCGTTTCTGTGTGGAGTTTGCATGTTCTCCCTGCATTCGCTTGGGTTTCCTCCGCGTGCTCCGGTTTTCCCCACAGTCCAAAGACATGTGGTACAGGTGAATTGGGTAGGCTAAATTGTCTGTAGTGCATGAGTGTGTGTGTAAATGTGTGTGTGGATGTTTCCCAGAGATGGGTTGCGGCTGAAAGGGCATCCGCTGCCAAAAAACTTGCTGGATAAGTTGGCGGTTCATTCCGCTGTGGCGACCCCGGATAAATAAAGGGACTAAGCCGACAAGAAAATGAATAAATGAATGACTTTAGTATTGCTTTGGTTGTTGATATTTTAGGCGATTGTCTATTAGTGAAGCTGAAGATGAGTGAGAGAATTCTCATGATAAACGGATGAGATCTAATTAACACTTGGTAGTAAGGTGCAGTTTTTTTATGTAGTAACAAGTGGACAGTCCTAAATATAATTGTAATAGCATCTAATGGTGTACTCACACTAGGCACGGTTGTCTTGAACTGCCCAGGTGCAATTGTCCCCCTTCCCTGATATAGCTGACATTTTCCAGCCCAAAAGCTTGTCCAAAACCCACCTGAATGGACAAAGAATGCCCAAATATTAGATTAATATTTATTTAATTTTAATTTGTTTAAATCAGAAATTAGCCTAGTTACTTTAATTGTCATAATTTAACCATACAGCAACCATGAGTCACAGAACCACAATAATAAAATTACAACGTAACTGGATCACATCACAGCACTGCACCTCTGTAGATTAGACTGCTTACTCGCCTACATATTGCAGATTTATTTGTTTAAAGAGGATATTTAAATAGTTTATACATTTTTGTTTTCATTAAATATCCTGTGTATTAAAATAAAGTATTTTAGAAGTTAGTTTCAGTCTGTTGGTTTTAAGTATATCAGTTAGCTAGTCTGCAGCAAAGTGTCTCTAGTGAATCTGGTGAGCCTAAAAATAATTCATTTGGCAACTCCCGAAACGATGACTTGTTTGACACAACAGAAGTAGGACACTGGAGTTCCAGCTTCTACAGCAGCTCCCTGGATTCCTAGTAGGGTTCAGGTAGATGCATTATGGCGTAAATGCATAAATTCATTTGATGTTTTACATTCTTTTGAACACCTGTAGGTGCTGCTTGTCAATCAGCGCTCGACGCTTTTATGTTCGTTCTTGCTGTCAATTGCGGGAAAAATTGTCAATAAATGTTTTATGATAAACCACTGTGAGTTTAACTGCAGGTGCTACGTGAAGCACGTGTACGTAAAGGGGAGTCAGGTTTGTCGAGAAGTAAACCTAACCCTAAACCAATCTCACAGTAACCTGTTGTGTTTTATTATCGTCCATACTAGGGGTCACCAATCTCGGTCCTGGAGGGCCAATGTCCTTGCAGTTTGATCAGGGTTGGAGCTAAAATCTCCAGGAACAAGTTTGGTGATCACTGGTGTATACCTACCCCAACCCTAATCCCAACCCAGGGCTCGATATTGTGACCATTTTGATCGCATATGCGCCCGAAATTTAAGCTATGCGACCTCATAATATATATTGGGAGCATTCGTGCGACTGCATATAATGGTTGTAGTGCGACCTGTTTTGGGTTTTTTTTTCTAAAAACGTGGTAAAATCGGTCTTCCCTGCCGCTATATTGGTTCATATTAGCTGTCAATCACTAAAGACTTTCCGCTGTCAGTCGACAGGGCGGGAGCTTTTGTGACCGCGGGGAATGCAAACGGCTGAAGAGTGAAAAGTACACTGACTCTCGATGCTTTACATGCACTGCGTGTTCAGCCAAAACAATCTCATGGCAATTCGTAACTTTTTCATAAGTTTCCTCGTGAGATCAGGCTGCAACAGCACAAATGTCCGCTAAAACACCATCACCAAAGAAGCTTGCCTTTACTGAGTTTAAACTGATGTGGGTTATAACCAAGAACAGTATTGCGCCGGTGGTCATCGGAAGAATCCTGCTCTGCCCCCCTCGTAATGGGCCGGCTCGCATGCTTTTCCGCAAACACAGAAAGATGTAACTCAGCGTGTAACGAGGCTGAGCATTAAAACGACACAAACTGAAACCAAAACTTTTAAAAGTGAGACTTTTCTTCCTTTCTTTTGTCCGTTCTTTCTTGAGGTGTATATTATTTTTCTATTTAATTACTGATGACTGCTTTGCAACTTTCAGCATTGAATTGAATGATTTACTATATTATTTTGTTTTTTTTTGTAGCAGAACTATTATTTATTAAATTGACAAGCATATAAAAACAGCAGTACAAAATAAATATTTCTTACTACAATGCTTCATTTGTATTTTATGCAAACCATCAATTTATTTTTTCATAATAAATAAGTAACAGAAGGACTTTATATAGCAGATAACTTACATTAAAGCACATTCAAGGCAGCATGATGATGAGAAATATAATTCATTATTAGTATTATTGTCATCATCGTCATCATTAATATTTTATAATTATTCAACATTCATTTTGGAATTATTGCATAAATATTAAGTCATCACAGCATTAGTTAGATAGTTGTTTCTGGGTTTTGTTAGTCCCAGTTGATGTTTTCAAATACAATAAATCCCTTAATATACAACTTGTCAAATATATCATTCATTTTTGGTGGGTGCTCCTAAATTTTTTCTGGTGCTCCTAAATTTTTTCTGGTGATCCTAAATATTTCAGGTTGGGAGCACCGGTGCTACCAAGTAAGAAAGTTAATTTCGAGCCCTGCAACCTCACAGTAACTTGTTGTGTTTATTGACGTCTACACCTACCACCCCACTTGGAGGTCTCCAGGCTGCAGCGACACCTACTTGAACGAATCGGGAAATGGGGGTCAAATGTGCCTGGCCACGGTTCGGATAGCCTAGTTTGAGTACACCCTAAAATGTATTATACTCATCCACCTTGTACCCCAAGGTTGTCAAATACATTTGATTGGACTGCTTTTGTAGTATAAACACTTATATGGTAAATAAATTTGAGGAGCCCACCTACTATTTGCCTATTGTTCTTGCACCATTCTTGCTTAATTTTGTTGTACCAAAACACCAGTTGCTATCAGAATTATAGTTGCCACCCACATCCTTTTCATTCAGTTACTTTCCTGCTTGTAAGCCACATAAGATGGTTTGGATCATTCAGTAGTACTCTTGTGTCACACTGAACACTCCTGTGAAAGTGATTTAGGGCATGATGAAATAAGAGGGGAGGATATGAAATCCAAACACAGTTGATCACCGGAGATGTTAAATATAGATTTGTAGAGAAACAGTGATGATATTCACAGATTTTAAGTTGAGGGATATTTCTAGTGGGGGGCTACTCGAGATATACATTATAGCTTACAGTGTGTGTCAAGTTTTGGTTTTCCTTGTAGAAAGTCTAGGATTAGTAACCTGTGGCTTATGACGTGTTCTCAGACTTGTCAGATGTCAGACAAGAGTTAACTGAAGTGGAGCACAGATTGACTGGATCTGTAGACTGGACTATAATGAAATTCGTGTTGTCTGTACGTTGCAGAGAATATGTGACAATCAAAAAAGAAATGGTATAGAGCAGAATGTTGGGAAATAAAGGGAGTTGAGAAGTCAAGAAATTGAAACACAGATAAAGGATACAGAAAGATTGGACAATTGAAAGGGGGAGGCAGGAATGAAACAAATACAAAAAGTAAAGGAAAGAAGTAAATAAAATAGTAAGGCAGGAAAAGGAAGGAAAGCTTGACGGAAATAAAGAAAAAGTGTAAAGGAAGACCGTAATAGGAAGATTAGTTTCTTTCAAAATAGTCTGCTTAAAGCTGTAGTTGATCATTTTAATGAAGTAACCTGTATTACATAGTTAAGTCATAATAGGCTGTTCGTAGACAAAACGAAGTGTTTTTTGTTTAATTATATTGACCTTATTCTAAAATGTGGAAGTGCGCCTGTTTTCGCGATTGTCTTTGAATTTCCAATTCAGTCACCTATGGGAGAAATGACTAGGAATAATAAACGGCAGAAAACGCTCAAACTACTTGCTCTACAAACAAATGTTTGCTTGACTATACAGACCAAGTAGAATAATATAATATGAAAATATCAAATTGCAACATCAAGCAGCATAACGAGCAGTTTTTAACGTCAAAAAATGAATGGAAGTCAATGAGATCGGAAGTCTCAAGCTAAAAAGATTCAAATGGCAGCGCCCACTCGTCGGCGGAGAATAAGGTGAATATCCATCAAATGACAGCCTCAAGGTTACTGTAGTCCAACAGGAACATTACCTTTCATAAATTATTTTGCACCATGGGAATCTTTGTTTAAATGTTGTCAAGTGAGTCTAAAATATGATTCCCCTCAATGGGAGTGCAGTAATATTAGACGTTTGGGGCAGTTTTCATTGGAACCACATGTGGGTGCTGTTTACAAGCACAAAATCTGCTCCCGTGTTTTCCTAACCCAGATGACTTTTACTGACACTGGCAGTAAGATCTACCACATTGGAAAACATGCTATACTCAATACTAGCAGACAGTCTTAACAGTGTATGTTAAATATTTCCTATTGGAGGGTGGATGCTGTTGTGCTTGTATATTCATAGCTGGAGACAGCTTCTGCATGTAAAATTGGTACATCTAGAAAATCATTTTATATTCGATGCACATTGTCTTTCTCTTCCATAATGCTTATTCACCCTTTCTGGAGTTTGCATAGGTGGCATGAAAACTTTTGACATGACATTCACTTAGCATAGGCAAAACCTTGCATGAGAAAACTGGGGAATTGTTTGGCATTTCATCCTCCTCCCCCTTGCAGTGAGCTCCCCAGTTTTGTTTGCCAATTTCTGGCTTATTCATTTGATGAGGAAATGCAGTTGCAAGGGAGGGCAGTTTAGAAAGGGGGGGAAGGGGCCAGAGAATTAGAGAGTGAATGATTGAGGGAGGCTCCAAGAAAGGGAAGCTCAACAAAATGCCCTTTAATTTAGATGCTTTATAGGATGGTGCAAATGTTGGTAACCGTGCCGAAGATACTCACCACCCAAAGCATCAGACACCCTCCATTTTAATCTTCAGTCACAGCAGTAGCTCCCACAGGGATTTCTCTACAGGTGCTTTGGCAATGTCTCCGCTTTATTGAAAGAAAGGATTCTGCTCCTTGCTTTGCTGTTATCCTTAGGACATGTGGGACCAGCTTGAAGTTCAAACAGAGCCCTTTTGCTCAAGCCAAGAAGCGGAACATTAAGGAACTTGTCTACACTGCTGACTGCAGGGTTGCACAGACCTGTTTTTGACAGTAGGAGAAGACCAAAGGCTTTTTAATCTGTGGCTGCACTTATCGCCTCTGTGCGCACAGGTATTTTTGTTGTTCCCCCACAATTCCCTGCAAGGTAAAAGTAGCAGGGAGGTCATGCTGGGGCTTGTTTGAAGTTCCCCCCACCCTCTAACTCTGTTTCTGTCTCTCACAAGTCAAAGGTGAGGGATTATGCTTGCTTTTGGAATGTGGCCTGGAGGTGAAAAACTCAGAGAGCGTCTGTGTTAGATAGAGTGCTTAAGTTGGCGAGAACAAGCTTGCAGAGGTGTGTCCACGATTAAAAAAATGGGAATCCTAAAAATAAGTTCACATTTTATCCACTGAGACCAAGTTAGTAAAACACTGTACATAGTTGCTGTTTACAAAGAATGGGACTACAGGAGGAGGTCCAGACTCTCATGCCTTCAGGGCGGGCTGAGAAGAGAGGAGAGGATGAGTTCATAGCTGTAAAGAGCAACGTGGGAGAGGAAGACGACGACAACGAAAGACAAGCGAATCAGAGGGAGGAGCGTCAAGAGAGCCCAGGGCAGAGGAGGAGCGCAGCTGGAAAGCTCAACAGGTGGCTTTACCTGAGCAGCACAGGGAACAGGGGGTGGAGGAAAGGGGAAGTTCTCGGAATGAGGACAGACCGGTTACCTATCCTCCGGGACAACTGTACGCAACAATCGTCTGCGGAACACTTTGACTTTGCTGGGGTAGAGAAAGCTTTGGAGCTCCGTACTGGTGTTTGCCACATTCCCTTTAAGGAACTAATTTGCAATGCTGTTTCTGTGGAGAATGCAACAGAATCTCATGTGGTGGTCTTGCAAAGGCCCGCACATGGGCTTCGGCTCCTGGGCAGCAGAAGAGCGATGAGCATGTTTGTCTTCCCAGACAACAACAGGAGACAGCAAACCACATCAACCAACCACCAAGACAGTTCTACAAGACCTCACAGTTTTTGCATGTTGGAAGCAACCAACTCTAAACAAGTTATTTTGCCTACCTCTGCTTCCACTAATCATGGTTTTCCAGATGTGGTCCAGCGGTGTAGGACAAGGCGAGCTGAGCTGCGTGCCATCGATGGTTTAAAACCTGACATGCCGCCATCTGCCAGCCTGTTACCTCTTCGTCTAGAAGAACCGCCAATCCGACGGACTTTGAAAAGCAGGAGCAAACCAAGGCCTGTTAGCATGACTGTTCTTGAGCTTTATAAAGAGCGTAGTGGATCTCGGGATGAGCTTGCAAGCCATACTGGCACCGGTAGTTTGCCTCGTCCAGGATTCCGGTGGAAATGGTTTGGTCGACAGGCAACTGGAAAAGAAATGGGGGTGACACAAATTTCAGCAAAGCTGAAGGAATCTAACAAAGAAGAAGCACCCAAAAAAATGTTCGGATCGCTGAGAAGGAGTTTGAGCCTCCGGATGAGACGAAATCGTAATCAACCTGAGCATGAGGACAGAACTGAGCTGAGACGCACTGCAAGTATTGGAGAAAAATCTATGCAAAGCACTCGCCCATTCTCGTACCTTACTGGCAGGACGTTAGCACCAGCATGTGAGCAAGATGAGGACCAAGGGGCCACACAATACATACAGTACCAAACACAGGGCAAAGTAGCAGTCTTGGAGGTTCCTCTTCGACCTGCCAAATTAACCAAGCCCACTAAACAAATGCAGCCAGAGACTAGTTTTTGGCAGCTAATTGCTAGTCGTTTTAAGAGGAAGGAGCCGTTGTCCAGCAACAAATCTGAGCTGAGCACTGGAAGCCAAGCAGTTGGCAGCCATCCCCCTGTGAGAAATAAAAAGCCAGATTCTGTTGCTATAGAGACTCTAGCTGGCATTGGTTTCCGCAAAGGTCAAGGTAAGTCGTGTAAAATGCATAATTTTATTCCACATCCCAGTCTGACGGAGGAAAAGGTGCTGCTTTTTGTCTGAAGAGGACATACTCTGAGTGCCTGGACGTAGCCTTGGAGAGCAGGGCAAATTGATTAAATATTTAAACGATATTGAAGGTTTGGCTTGGGCAGCACCAACAGGCATAATAAGAGGTTAAATGCATTATTCACTCCCCGTGCTTTGGCTCTGTTGGAGTGTGTGTGTGTGTGTGTGTGTGTGTGTGCTTGAGCTGTTAATTGGCTCCAAGAGGAGTTTTCTTCCAGTGCAAGTCTGCACCGCAATTGAATTAGGAAGCCAAAAAGCGTCTATCAAATCTTGTTTAATCATTAACGCTTTCAAGGTAATCAAATAGACTGCAGGAATAAGTCAGAGATGGAAGATGCAGACGTATAAAAGGAGAATAATTTAATGGCTCTGTTTTATTATCAGAACCCTCCTAAGCACTGCTCAGGAATGCTCTTCCTTTTGCAGAATGGAACACAGAACACTTCTGTTCTCATGGGATTGGAGTTAGGGTTTGTTTATGCTTTTACAGATATGAAGGTTAAATCGTGACCCTCATGCAGACAACAGTCCTCATGATTTTTTAAAGCGATATCATTCGGAGTCGATTCATTCTTTTGCCTGCAGCAGATGCATCGTCTCAAAGGTAGAGAAAACAAATAGTGCAGAGCTTTACGCTGTGATTTTTGAAAAAGGATTATGTTACAAAGAGTGGAACAAGTAGATGTGTGTAGGCAAAGGCTCTTAACCTCATGTCACCTCAGTGCCTTTGTAATCCTTACTTACACAAAAAAATCATTAGTTTTCCCTGTGGCATTTTCAACGGATGTGAATATTTGAACAAAGTCTATGCGCAGAGTTGCATATGGATCATCTTTTGCACATTAGTTCGTCTTTAATCAGTGAAGTCTGGCTTGCAAATGCAGTGTGATATATTTCACAGCTGAAGTTGTTGTCAGAATATAATTTGAATGAAGCGTCTGCAAACACAAGATGACTGAAATGTCAGTGGAGAGATGCTAGCACATCTGCTATGGAAATAGAGCTGTCCTTATGTTTGAATTAGTAGGACATGTAGCAGGATAGAAGATGATGTTATTTGGCAGTACATCTTGAGGTGTTTTGAGGACTTGTTACATTGTGGAACAGCTAGGACAGGACTGACAGGCTTAAAGGGTCATGAGATCCCTAATTACAGCACAAATCTTACCAGATTGTTAATAAATGACAGGGTCCCTTTGTTTTGATGGTCCATTTGTTGAATTTAAATTACATTGCATCTACATGCCAACTAAGGGTGTCACGATCCTCCAAATCCTCGATTCGATTACATTTTCGATTCTTAAGTCACGATTCGATTCGATTTTCGATTATGAATAATTAATTAATTAATAACGAATTAATTATTTGTTGCCTACCGTTTAAACTACCTGACCTGCATGGTCTTTGTTTTACCCATAACCAAATCATACAGTAAATGAATAAAGGTAAGTTGCACACATAATTACCAAAATCTATCTATTGAAAATAATCTATCTATTAAAGAAACGTTGGCTAGAATTCTGCTTTTTAGGCTTAAATTATAGAGAGACATATGTTATATATATGTTATATATAGCAGATGAACCGAGACTGCATCAGATCGCGAAGCAGATCAATGTTAATCATTTCCGCACTGACACCTCGAAAGAAAGAACAAAACAACTGGCCTAACACAACATATTATAAGATTAAAACATGAAAAAATCATCAGATAGTAACTTCGGTCAATTTTCCTAACGGATAAACCGAGATCAGGCTGGATAAACAGCTCTCGGTAATATTTCAGCATGCTTTCACTTTCGCATTTACCGGTAAGAATGACGTCTCGCCCTGCTCATCGTTCTCTCTTCATATAGCCGTATATATGACTATTACACGATCATAATACACTGTGATATAGCCTGGGTCGTTAGTTTCGTTGCATTGTTTTGATTTCTCACTACAATCGATCCGCTTAATAGGGCAGAGACCGTCTCATTCAGGCGATCTCGGACTGATTGATTTGCCAAACAAATCGCGCTTACGGGGGAAACGAGACAGATTCTGAAACAAACATCTATGTGTGAAAGCACCGTAAGATTGTATTTGCACACAATTGACAGACAGTTGCAGCACGCAGCTCTGGCTCGATCTGGCACACAACAAGGCAGCACTGTACACTGGCCCGAGCGTTGCACGAGCGTGGCAGCATCAACGATTCTATTTTTTGATTCGATAATCAAAATTGAGCATAAATTTCGATCGATTTCGATTTAAATCAAAATCGTGACACCCTTAATGCCAACTAATTCTCCCTTGAATATACATAGACTGTTACGTTGGGGTTAGGGTTAGGTTTTTTGTAAGTTGACATGTACTTGCAGTCTGTCAACTTACAATAGTCAGTTAAATGTCTGTTAAATGTCTGTATCAACTGTTATTAAGCAGACAGTCTACTAATACTCAAATGGACCATCAAAATAAAGTGATACCAATTAAAGAAATCTTTGAAGGAGGACACATCTCTGGAAATCTATCAGTTTATCTGGACTGATTCTTTTAACAGACTGTGTTTGGACAGAACCACTGAGTCAAGTACTTTAATTTGATCCAATGAGACATTGGCTATCATCCAATCAGTTGACTTGCATTTATTGTAACAATATACTCGCATTACATTCTTAAGTGTACCTCGGAAAGCTCTCTTCAGCACAGCAAGCTTATATTAAATGACTTTCAGGGCCTGTTTTGAGGCAGTACCATTAGTCACTCGTCACATTGTGGCTAGTCTACACCCTTGGCATTTGCTCAAGTTTATTTTCATTGGTTACTAAGGAAACGATCCTCCCCAAAATTCCCAGATTGACCTTTCTTTGCAAAAAGTTGACTGACAGTCGGAATGTTAGGTGTGTTTGCTGAACTTGAGAGGTTTTTGGACCAAAGGGTTGCGTGTGCCTGTCGTAACATGCCCTGAAAGTTTGACAAGCAGGTCGTTTCTGTCTTCTATAGCTGTGAGTTCTTGGTATTTCAAGCCTGGAAGACTTTACCTTTTCTCACCTGCGTATAAAGTGCTAGACTCTCCTTAAAGGCCTTCTCAGATGGAATTAAGATGACTTTTTGGCCTTGGGGTCGTGATGGCTGGGAAAATAGTGTTAGGTCACTTCAAAAGAGTGCAAAGCTAGAAAATTGCATCGTGCCTAGCTTGAAAGAATCCATTACAGTGAGTTATAAAGGTACAGAAAGTTTCCTTTCTCTTTTAGAAAGTGCCAGCGTAATGAGAACACCATGAGACATGCATTTCAACCGTAAATCCAACTACAAAAGCTCTGCATTTCCCAAAAGAGCTTTAAATTTGGTCTGTGTAAGAATTGTTACGTATTGATCTCTTTTTTTATGGCTAGTGGGTGAACAGCTTGTGATGGAACTTTCTGACTTCTTAAATTGTCTATAAAAGCCCATTGACTGTTTTTATATGAAAGTTCTAGGACTGACTAAAAACTGATGTCCTGCTCAGGTTTTTTTTTATCGCTAATCAAATCATTCATTTTGTTCTTTTAATATTTAGTATGTATTGTATAGCTGTCACATCATAGCAAAAAGGTCGCTGGTTTGAATCCTGAGCCAGTTGGCATTATTGTGTGGAGTTTGCATGTTCTTCCTATGTTGGTGTGGGTTTGCTCCTGGTGCTCTAGTTTGCCCTACAGTCCAAAGACCTGCGCTATAGGTGAGTTGGATAAACAACATTGGAAGGGCATCTGCTTCGTAAAACATTTGCTGGAATAATTAGTGGTTCATTCCACTGTGGTGACCCCTGATAAATAAGGGACTAAGCCTAAGGAAAATGAATGAATAAATGTATTGTGTTGAGTCTCAATAGAAATCTTATATTTTCCTAGTGCACGTTTAAATGCATTAAGCTTATAAAAAATAAGCCTTTCAATATCTCACTGCAAAGTAATTTCAACTTTTTTATTTTTATTTATTCTTATATTTTTTCTTCTTCTAATTAGGTATGTACTGACAAGGACATGTTAGCTTACTTTATAACAGAAACTAATTAGTCATATTTGAAAGCCAATTATCAATAAAAAGGCTTATAACTACAAATTTTTATGTGGATTTTTCAAGGTCTAATTACAGAAACGCAAACTAATACAGTGGAAAACTTTTATTTTATAACTTTAGCTACAGAAAACTAATTTGTTATCTTATCGGCCAATGCATTTGTTGGTCGGCGCAAAAATGGTGTCACTACTTGTAATCAAAGAATGAAAAAGAAGTTAGTATACTGCCAAACTAAGCATTGAATCAATGCATATGCCTCAATTCAACTGAGTGGTAGAGTATAATTTTTTAATTTTTTAATTATACTCTTTTTTAGAGTATAATTGATTTAATTCAGTACAGGTCACCTTTACCAGACTTGTGTCTCCAATGCCAAATAGTACCAATAGTACTCTTTTGGTAGGCGTGGTGTACGACAGAAAGTTGCAGGCAGCGTCATATTGCTTCAAGTTCAAATATCGAGAAGCACTTCTTCTATATCTATCTATCTATCTATCTATCTATCTATCTATCTATCTATCTATCTATCTATCTATCTATCTATCTATCTATCTATCTATCTATCTATCTATCTATCTATCTATCTATCTATCTATCTATCTATCTATCTATCTATGTATATATGTATGTATGTATGTATATATGTATATATGTATATATGTATATTAGATATTAGATATATTATATTAGATATTAGATATTTGGGGCTGGATGCTGGGCAATTTCGTCTTATGCAATATGCATTGGGAGGGTGCTATCGCAGATGGACCTGTCAGAGGAACGCCACTCACTTTAACGTTAATTTTGCCAAATAACTGTGCTTATCACTGGCTGACAAGCTGTTATAATATGCTGAAAGCATTATGTAAATAATATATATAATATGTAATCAATATGACTTATCTCTAAGACAACAACAAACTCTGTACTGCACCGGATGTCATTCCCTTGCTGTAAATGCTAGCTTTCCTGTTTTTTTTTTCTGCAACCCGTACGCATTCTGAACGTTTACAAACATGGTAATTCGTCTATAAGCTGCTTGCCGCAATTCACTTTATGGCCACCGGTGTTGCTATTGTGTAACAACAGCTTCTAGTGCCTCATAACGCATATTGATTTCCTTGCATTCTGGTACATCTACAGGAAGGCCTGAAAATGAATTCAGCACAATTTCTAAACGTCCCCCTTGTGATTGCGATGGCCTTGCCCTCTCTGAGTCACTTTTTTTCCAGCTTGGTAACAATAAAGTTCGCCGTGGCTCCCATATGACTCAGAAAGCGCATTGTTTGCAGCTTTAAAGCATCAAAATGAAGTGCAACATCAGTCTGATTCCTTTCAACTGCAGTGCGGTTCAAATTTTAGAGGAAATTTTGCATCTGTCACTCCCAAAATACCTGCCTCGTTGAGTTGAGATTGCGTGTACTCAGTCTGAAGCCTAATTACTCTGATTTGTTTTGACTCGAAGCATCTTTGGGATAAATGCTAGTGTCCTGTGGGATTGTGGGGTGTGGTTGTCAAGTTCAGATGTGTTTGCTTGTTGGCACAGGTCCACTTTTCCTTAGATTTGTGTGAAAATGGCTGGTTTGATCAGGGCACGTTGCTGAGCGCAGCAGGAAGAATCTCATCTGAGTCACTTCAGCGGTTTGTTGAGTGCAAAGGGAGGGTGAGACATCAAGTTTAAATGAAGGACAGAAGGAAACACCTCCTGACTTGCCGTGCGTTACACTTAGCTCAACTCGGGGTGTGCAATATGGCGAAATATATCGTGTGGACAAAATAAAATGTCTATTTGCATTTTTTATTTTGCATTATGCTCTATCCATGCTTTATTTCATGGTATTAGAAAATACATTGTTTATGGTACTATTTGTTCGTATGAGTACAATATCACACATGCAGACAGAAACATGAACAGCATCATGAGAAAGTTGCAGTCTTAAAAGAACATTGTTAGCATTTTACATTTTGTTTGTCTAAAGTGTCCAGTTATAAAGTTTAAAGTGTACGTTTTAAGTCAAATATTTGCCCTGAAATTTTAAATAAAGTGAAACATTATCATATGAATGAGTACATTTCTGAGTATATTCTTTAAAATGTAAAGATTTATATATATGTGTATGTATGTATGTATGTATATATGTATGTATATGTGTGTTTGTGTGTATGTATGTGTGTGTGTGTGTGTGTGTGTGTATATATATGTATATATATATATATATATATATATATATATATATATATATATAAAAATATATATAAATATATACACACACACAACAGTTCTGTCTGGTTCTCAAATCTGATTGGCTGATAGTTTTACGATATACTGCAATATCAGAACTCCTACAGCCTCTTTACCCTTTGTGTATTACTCCGCCCACATACAGCCAGCAAAAAGCAGACACTACAGATCTAAAGTTTAAAAGATGCTTGCTCAACTGTTTTAACTGTCAGCTTGTGATTTGAATCCGGAAGAAAGTAGTTCCTCATACAAAAGGGTTTTTGAGACTCTCCATGTTTGATTTTGTTTTTATATACACAATTATGCCGTCAAACTGTTGTATAAATGCAATATCACACGAGTAGCAGTGCGATATGGCTGTATACCTGCGGCTTTGTGCCAACGCACACCTCCCACCAGTGCCGATATACAGCCATATTGCACTGCTACTTGTTTGATATTGCTCATATGTATATATGTGTGTGTGTGTGTGTGTGTATGTATGTGTGTGTATATATATATATATATATATATATATATATATATATATATATAGTTTCAGTTGGGGTAACAGCAGTGCTTGTATTATCAAGACAACTATGGACACTTTTAAAAATGTAGGAGAGACTAGTGGTTGCTTTTTCAAGTTATTCAGAGCTGTATGCAAATCTTGAATATCACAATATTATTAAATATTACATTCATAAGTCAACCTTAATGCGTTATTCCAATACTGACTGAAAGGATATATTGTGCAGCCCTACCTTGCACTATCAAAAAATAGTATCGAATATTGTTATTTTTCAAGGTATCGTATTGAAATTAGAGATTCCAGTATTATGACAGCACTAGTATCGGGATAAAATAAAATGACTTCTTTCATGATATGAGATTTCATCATATCGCCCAACTCTAAGCACAACATGTTCTCTCCATAACACAAACACTCACAGTGACTCTTATTTTGGTACAATGTATAAACGGTTTCGCTCATGAAGGGCTCCTTTTCTTGGTGTATTTTTCTCACAGAGTATTTTCTCTTCCCTGATGCTTTGAATAGTCATTTTGATTAGATTGGACAAGGGCAGCGGAGTGAAAAGTGAAGCAAACAATGCAGTGCCACAGACCTCAGTGGCGCTTTAAAAAGGCTGCCCATGTGCCCGCTGTGCTGATGATGTAATCACTGTACAACAGACAGTGTTCCTGTGTGTGTGGGGCAGGGTTTTGCTGGGCCAATGATGGCTTGTGTTTTCACTGTCGTGTCAGTCTGTGTAGGCAAGATGACAAACGTGATTATTAGTAGCAATTAATCCTCTGCATGAGGGGATGACATACTTTTCATTTACTGTGGGTTTTTTGTCTATTATTGAGGACCAGACTCTTAAAATAAAATTGTTCCTTCAGGTTTAAAAAAAAAAATTTGCATTAATTATCATTGTATAAAAATAAACAAACAAATATAGACTCATCAGTCAAATAAGATTCATATTTTAACAACAAAAGGCAGGATTTAAATTCCATGTTTGCAAATTGCTTTTCTGTCTGCTAAATACTTTCTCCATATTTTTGCAATTTTTGCATATCTGTAAACGTGAGTTTTTGAATATGTAATTTTGCGAATATTTCAATGTGGTGATATCATTGACCCATGAACATTTCTTGCTTGTCGTCAAACTATTTCATAATGGTAACAAGAGGTGATTCAATCATAACGTAACATTAAAGCAGCGGTCATAAGTGTCAATATGTGGACCTTTTGGGACTCTCTGAAACTATTGTTATTGTTTACATCCCTCAAAATGGTCTATATGTTTTTCTTTTTTTGTTATGCTAGTTGGTTGTTATGGTGTTGCTAGTTCTTTTCTATTATGTTCTGGTGGTTGCTAGGTGGATGTTATATTATTCTACTAGGTTGTTGCTATGAATAGGGATGTCCCGATGCAACATTTTAACTTCCGATACGATACCGATATTGCAGCCATCAGTCCGATACGATACCGATATAAACCCGATATCAAAACAAATTATGAATACTTTACTAGTATACTGTAAATGCTATGAATACTAATACTAGAGGTTTTGCTTCATATTGACATGACAGCATCACGCAGTTGCTGCAGATTTTTCAGCTGCACATCCATGATGCCAATCTCCTGTTTCACCACATAACAAAGGTGCTCTATTGCACTGAGATCTGGTGACTGTGGATGCCATTTGAGTACAGTGAACTCATGTCATGTTCAAGAAAACAGTCTGAGATGATTCACACTTTGACATGTGGATCAGCAGTTTCGGAAATATTCAGACCAGCTCTTCTGGCACCAACAACCATGCCTCGTTCAAAGTCACCTAAATCACCTTTCCTCCCCATTCTTATGCTCGCTTTGAACTGCAGCAGATCGTCTTGACCATGTCTACATGCTTTATTACATTGATTTGCTGCCATGGTTGATTAGAAATGTGCGTTAACGAGCAGTCGAACAGGTGTACCTAATAAAGTGGCCTATGAATGTATATGTAATGTCTGAAATTAATTAACACTAAGCACTTATTCTGGTTAATTGGTTTACACTTAATTGTTTTTTAGTAGATTATTTGCTGATGAATTCTGCAATAAAACAATGTATGTTTACGGTACGGAGTAAAGTGAACGGCGTAATCACAAGTTTTCTCTCCGTTTCTTTCCAGATTCCTTCGTCAACAGTCAGGAGTGGACATTGAGTCGATCAGTACCAGAGCTCAAAGTGGTGAGTGATTTTTTTTACCTTGTCATTTTATCTCATAACATTATTCTAAACAATACATCCTGACTTGTGGAGGACTGAATGTATTAAGAGAGACTGACTGCTGTTTCTCTCTCTCTCTCCAATGATATTTCAGCTTAAGTGTCACTCACAACTATTTATTGCTGACGCTCCCTCACGAGTCAGAAAATACAGTATTCACTGATGCATCATACATAATATTACTGTCAAAGTATGACTAGAAGAGTTTTTTACACTAGTGTAGTACAAAAATAGGCATATGTACAGTCAAAAAACTTCAGGGATGAATGATCCGACTGCAGAATCATAATTACCCAATTAAATAAACACCCTCGTCATAACAGCTTATTATGAGGCAACACTCTGAAAGCATATGCTCATGAAGTTTTTACACTCCTAATGAAATTTCTCTCCCCCGTCTTTGTACTTAAGACTTGCGGTGGCCACATGGGTAACACACTGCTCGTCTAGGCTTTTATTATAGAGGAGGATTGTTACTTTCTGAAAATTCTTAACAATAAACACACCAGTCTCTGATAAACCCAGACACGGTTCAGTCGGAGCCTCTGGTGTTTAAATGATGAGGAGGTTTGATGTTTTTTCACAGAAGTAAATGGACAGTTTTTCTATTTCTTGAGGGCCTTTATGTGGGTCAAATTTGTTCTTATAAGGATTCACAGTTATTCATTCATTCATTTTCTTGTCGGCTTAGTCCCTTTATTAATCCGGGGTCGCCACAACGGAATGAACCGCCAACTTATCTAGCAAGTTTTTATGCAGCGGATGCCCTTCCAGCCGCAACCCATCTCTGGGAAACATCCACACACACATTCACACACACACTCATACACTAAGGACAATTTAGCCTACCCAATTCACCTGTACCGCATGTCTTTGGACTGTGGGGGAAACCCATGCAAAGGCAGGGAGAACATGCAAACTCCACACAGTTATGTTGGTGATATTTTGAATATCAGTGAGGGCAATATTTCTTCAGTGATATACAGCTGAAGTAAGAATTATTACCCCTCCTGAATTATTAGCCCCTGAATTATTGTTTTCAACACATTTATAAACATAATAGTTTTAATAACTCTTTTCTAATAACAAATTATTTTATCTTTGCCATTATGAGAGTACATAATATTTAAAACATAAGAAGATACTAGTGTTCAGCTTAAAGTGCAATTTAAAAGCTAAACTAGGTTAACTAGGCAAGTTAGGGTAATTAAACAAGTCAATATATTATGACGGTTCAGTGTTTACTAGGGGTGTCAAAATTAATCGTTTCTTCGATGCACCGCGATGCAGACGCGGACAATTCGGTATCGGTTCAGTAATAATCATAACCGGTTATTACTGACGTCATTTACCTCATATGCGCTCTGTCGCGAGGGAGACGATCGCGAGTATTTACAGCGCTCTAACTACTTAATACTCATGAACTGTGCACAATTTCACTGTGTGTGTTTGAGAATGAAAGTAGCCTACTCCATTTCTCTCTCTCTTTCTCTCTCTTTCTCTCTCTCTCTCTTGCTCGCTCGCTCTCGCTCTGTCTCTGTCTCTCTCTCTCTCTCTCTTTCTCACATACACACACAGTGGCCCATTTGACCTGCTGGCGTGGCTTGTCTTCTCCTCTCGGCTGTTTTACAGCGTTACATTTGGATACAGAAACGAGCGCATGTCTGCAGAGTTTTCTCCACCGTGTCTATCATAGATCGGCTGTGAGATCGCCGCTGCCGCCTGCCGCTTATCATTCATCTGAAGAGCGCAGCGCGCAAGAGCCAATCGCAACCGTTTTTGTTGAGGGTGTAACCAATCAAAGGGGTGTAAGAGAACTAGACAAGGATCAGAAATTGAGCTGGATATTTATATTTGTTTATATTATTTGCTCGTTTTTTTTTAAGTTACAGTTTATATATCTGACTGTTTGTATTAAATGACACAATTGTATTACAAATAATAGCATATATAAATATAAATATATTCATAAATTTTAATACAAGAGCTGCTACTGTGAAGAAAATATAAAAGCACCGTCAATGCACCGTGATGCACCGAAATATCGAATTGAACCGAATCGATAACATGATAATCGTAACCGAACCGAACCGTGAGACTAGTGTAGGTTCACAGCTCTAGTGTTTACTCTAGGATTTTTTTTCCTTGCAGGCCTTTTTTACACAGATCTACCAACTACCTGTGGCGTTATTTCAACGACAAATGTTGTGAGCGCAGCATTACTAGTCGAGATCGCATTTATGTAATAGCCTTTGAGCACGCGAATCTCTTTGCTTGCGTGCCGATTTCCTCTGCTCATGCACAAAACTTCTTGCACGCCCCCTCAAGCACAGATCTTCTTGTGCACTCTCAAATAAACGCTGCTGAAGTGTGATTTAGTGCATTTATGTAACAAGTATGTCTCCAACATTTATAAGATTTGCTAGAAATATTTATGAATGTCTCCAATAGACCTACAGAGCGGTTTTAATGTGTCCTGAAGTAAAGTGAAACGGCTATACGTCGTGTTTGTTGGCCTCACTTATCCCGCACCAGTCAGTCAGTCAGTCAGTCCGTCAGCACGTTATAGTAAAGGGTTAAACAAATAAGCTACAGTACTACTACGGTTACAGAAAAGTTTGCAATGTTATAATTCACTAACCTTTTAATACATTTTGGTGCGATTATCACCCTCAATTAAAAAAAAAGATGTTTGCATGAGAAGCTGTAATGTAGCCGTGGCGGGATCAATTTTGCCATGGCGCCCCACCATGGAAGACTGAATGTAGCGGAAACCATGTGGTTTGTTCTGAAGACATTTACCAAAATATAGCTTAGGGGGCTAATAATTTTGACCTTCAAATGTGTTTTAAAAACTTTTAAATTGCTTTTATTCTAGCCGAAATAAAACAAATAAGACTTTCTCCAGAAGAAAAAAATATTATAGGAAATACAAAAATTTTTGACTTGAACTGTATGCATGTTGTTTGTTTTTTTTTTTTTTAAATTTATGATAATAATATAGCCGTACTTAAAGGGCTAGTTCACTCAAAAATTAGCATTTGCTCATCATTTACTCATACACAAGCAGTTCTAATGTTTTGAGAATGTAAAGTAGAACACAACGGAAGATATTCTGAAGAGTGTTGGAAACCAGAAGACATTGACATCCATAGTCAATGTCTATGCTTTTCAACATTCTTTAAATGATCTTCTTTTGTGTTCAACAGCAAAAAGAAACTTAAACTGGTTTGGAAGAAGTGGAGCGTAAGTGAAATGACAACAATTTTTATTTTTGGGTGAACTATCTTTTAACATTAAACGTGTATACACTTACCGGCCACTTTATTAGGTAAACATGTCCAACACAGTTCATGGTGGTGGTGTAATGGTGTGTGAGATATTTTCTTGGCACATTTTTGGCCCATTTGTACCAATTGAGCATCGTGTCAACGCCACAGCCTACTTATTGCTGCTGACCATGTCCATCCCTTTATGACCACAGTGTACCCATCTTCTGATGGCTGCTTCCAGCAGGATAACTCACCCTGTCATAAAGAGCTATTCGTCTCAGACTGGTTTCTTGAACATGACAATGAGTTCACTGTACTCAAATGGCCTGCTTAGTCACCAGATCTCAATCCAATAGAGCACTTTTGGGATGTGGTATAAAGGGAGATTGGCATCATGGATGTGAAGCTGACAAATCTGCAGAAACTGCGTGATGCTGTCATGCCAATATGGACCAAAATCTCTGAGGAATATTTACAATACCTTGTTGAATCTATGCCATGAAGGATTAAGGCAGTTCTGAATTTTAGAGGGTCCAACCCTGTACTAGAAAGATATACCTAATAAAGTGGCCGGTCAGTGTATACACAGCATATATAGTAAACAAGAGATGACAATGCTCATGACAAAGCCATTGACATGACTATATTATATAATTATTGAATAATTATATTATTATAATTAAAAAATAAAATAAAAATTTTGCATACTAACATCCAGGAAAACTCCCGATCATAGATATGTTTGTATATCTCTGGCTTTGGATGGCCACAGTCCTCCACTGTACCTTGGTCCCGCATTCATTTCAAAGGAGTGCTACCCTGTTCCAAAATGGCGGCTCTATTGACGCATTCAGGCGCATTCAGGCGACATCTAATGTATCTATCTATGGCCTAGTAAGAGCTTGATTAGCTAGCCTAGGTGTGTCTGATTGGGGTTGGAGCTAAACTTTGCAGGACACCGGCCCTCCAGGACCGAGTCTGGACATCCCTAATTTAAGGGGTGTAGAGGAAGGTGTAAACCTTTGAAAAAAGCTGCCATTTGAATCCTGTAATTTTTTTGATAGTCAGACGGCATTCTTCAAGATCAGCTCAAGCTGTATGTATAATATCTTTATCAGTGCTCACTTCGTCATTTGATTTCAGTATTTGCATGAGTAAGTCCTTCAACTTCAGCGTTTGAAGACAGAGATGAGTGTATCTGTCCTCATTATGTTTATGAAGCTTTCCGTCTGCAGCTGGTAGGGAATTATCATCCGTCCTGTGGAGCGACAGGAAGAATAGTGTGAGGAAACTTCTGAAAGTTGCTTCCGTCATGGCTGAGCGCTTGTTTGATGACTGAGGGATCTAGAATGTTTTGAGGGAAATCCTGGATGCAGAACGGATTTCCTCCATCTGTCACTAGGGACTTGTGCTTTAACAGAAATTACCTTTGATGTGTTGTTTAATGTAAATCATCTGTAAAGTTTCAAGTCTAAATGCAGATAAATGGAGAGCATTCACACATGATTATTTCATTCCTATGTGATTCTTTACCATCCTGTTGTTTTTTTTACGTATACATGTGGTTAATAGATGTGCATAACAGATACATTTTGGTCTCACATTTTTTTACAGCACGTCATAAATGAGCTCCATGTTTTTATCTTGCTGTGTCAAGTTAAAGGTCCTGTGAAGGGCTTTAAAATGTGCATTTATTATACAATGTTTGACATAATCTTAACTGAAAAAGCAAGGGAGGGTGGGGCTAAAGTGGCTCCTCCCTTTTAAAAAAACAGCCAATAGTGTTTAGTTTTTTATGGCAGCTCTGCCAGTAAGAGGGGTTGAGATCAATCGCTTCGAATGAAAAGCTAACAAGAAGTGTCTTGAAGGGGGCGGGGCATGTCAGATACTAGAGAGCATTTGATTAGTCAGGATATGATGAGAAACTGAAGTATGAGGTGATGTGAAGTTAACTGACCCTTTGTTAAGCCACACCCGAAAACCGCCACACACCAATCGTGGCTTAGCAATCGAAGGTACGCGCAGGAGGTCTGTCAAGCCAAAGCGTTGTGCATATGGATTGTACGAATCTGATACCCGGTGTCTTAAGCCGGCTTTCCACTGTACACGACATTTGGAGACGACTGTCGGAATACGCCCCCTTGTGGCAGTCGCACAGAATTTTCAGTTCTGACTTGCACCATGGGAGAGAAGCTGTTCTGACAGTGTCCGAAATAAAGGAGTGCAAAAGCAAGAGTCTTTATTTCTGTGCGTTCGCCATGGTTGAATGAATGAATGAATGAATACTAGAAACTCATATTGGAGGGAATGTGGAGACAACATAAAATATATATTTTTATTACTTCATTACTTGCATTTATGAAACGAATTTATTTATATATATATATATATATATATATATATATATATATATATATATATATATATATATATATATATATATATATATATATATATATATATATATATATATATATATATATATATATATATATATATATATATA